TGTCCTTTTCCAGGCAAATTGATGGGGTGTGATATGAAGGGAATGGAAGGGAGATCTTTGAGAAGAGAAGAAATCGTGGATATTCAGATATTTTTCTCTTAAATTTGGGAAATTTGTTAATCGTTGGAAAAAAGTCAATATTGAAATTAATTTGTTAATTGTAAAGAAAAAATTAATATTGGGTTGAAATTGAGATAATTTTAAAAATTCAATATAAAATTGAGTAATGATATTAAACGTGGAATTACGATGAGAGGGAAAGTAAGTTTGGATTGAACACAGAGAATATAGGATTCTCTTTATAATGATCCGAAGATAATCTTATGAGTGTGAACACGTCATAGTTATCGATTGCTCCACATTGCTCTTATAAAATCCATAATTCAATTTCGATATTTAATCTGAAAGTACTTAATATGGATCCTTGACCGCAATATTTCCACTGAAGTCCATTCTGTATTCAATTTTTCCTTATTCTACAAAAGAAAAACAAAATGTGAAAGTATTAAAACGATGAAAAAAAATATTCGTTTCATACGAGTTGAAAGATTGGACGAATTTTTAACGAATTATTACAAAATAAAATTTCAAAAATTATTCAAAATTAAAATACTTATGATAATTCTCTTTAAAATGTTTTCTATATTAAAGGAGAAACATTTAAAAATTTTTATTGATAGATATTTCATAGTCTCCAATTTCAGTTAGAGTTTTGTAGCAAAGCTTCTGAAATTACATCTTTGGTTACATGAAATATAAGCATATCGGTGAAACAATTTCGTCTAGTTAACTAGATCACTTCTACTTTCTCCAAGATAAACACGATACATCTTTACGTAAAACTTCTTTTTTAATATTATTTGATAAAAAGATTTTTAATATTATTTGATAAGAAAAAGAAATATGATAAGTATAAAAAAGTATATTTCGACTAATGAATGAGAAAAAAGATTTCACTTCATCACTATATAACCTATAAAATATAATAAATATCTACTCGACATAAAGAACAAAAAAACTTCATTTTCACTGCAAAATATATATCAATAAAATAATACGATAAATCAGAATCATTTTTCGTTCGATGTAACTTATAACCATTTGAAATCATCTAAATTTCATTTTTCACCGCATTCGCGCACAATCGACACACACAATCCGATCCGTACCTCGTAATGTTTCTATATCAATATGAACCGACAATCATCATCGTGATCTTCATCAACTCGATTCTCTTTCGATGCCTTCTGATCAACTTCTGTTATAACTAGAAATAACTTGGTGGCTAACGATAATAGAATAAAAGCGATGGTTCACTAAAGCTCTGGATAGTTGGTCGAAGCCATAGTACGTCGGTCAGCTAGAGCATGGATTAAGCACAAACACGTGGGTCGCATCGAAACAAGAATTGATCACATGTGTATCCACGTGCACAAGATCTGGCAATTCTCTCTTGAATCTCTTCATAATTCTTCTTATGGATTAACTTATCAAGAAATGACATTTCATAATCTTTTTTTTAATCTTCTGTGTATAGATCAGAATTTGTTCGAAAGATTTCTTTCTTTAAGATTTCTTTCTTCGAATTATTAATTAATATAATTTTAGAATTGGTACATTGATTTATCGATCGAATAAAATAATACAATTGCGAGAATAATGATAAAATGAAATTAAAGAAAGATATGTAATTTGTGATAAATCGCAAGTAGTAAAACCTTAAATTTGACAACGTTGGTTGCGATAAAAGTGAAACGACTCAATAATCATTATTTAATGATTCGTTAATCTAATCTAATATATATCATAAAAAAAGGCGCGTGAGATGTTTCTCAGAGATTTTGTTCTTTTTTTCTTCATTTACCTTTGGATTTGAGATAATGAAAACAATGAGGACTGATTCAGTTGAACGAAGTTCGCGCAATTCTTTTTCGTCGGTCGGATCGTACACGTGTACACTTGCACTCAATGAGATTTTTCGAGGTTGATTAGAAAAAATGATGACATTTAAGGGATTCGAGACTTCTTCTTATACGATGTGTAAACTTTTTTGCTTATTCTTGTCGAATGGATTTTTGGATGATGTTTCCTTTAGTTCAAAAGAATAAATTTTTTTCTTACGAAAGAACTATGTTCATTTACAATATATAATTTAAAAAAAAAAATAATAATTTTCTAAGAAAACGCGTTCATTGATTTCAAAGTTAAGATCATCTGCTAACTAATTAACATTTGTAATATGTTATAATATAATATGTATATAAATATATAAAATAATTTGTAATAGTTTGTTATATTAAAGTTAAAAATTTGTCAAAAGATTAGTGATTAGTTTATTCAGAATTTGACAATTCAAAAAATAATTAATTAAAAGTTTACAATAAAATTATTAAAATGCTTGAATAATATTTGTTGCTATATTATAGTTGATTCGTTTTTCGTATAGCTTTGGCCATTTGACAATTATTTGCAATTATTATTACGTTTTGAACAATAAATTTGAAATAACTTATCCAAGTAATTTTATTCTATTATAACTATTGAATTTTGCCCATCACTGTTTTATCTATTATTTATCACATAAATGATAAATATTTTTTACCTCCACTTTGTTCCTTGCCTTCTATAAAGTTAAAGCGACAGTTGCAGACTAATTTCTATTCATAATCTTCGAATAACTTCGGTTACATTCGACTGAAGTTGACTGCGGTAATTCGAGCATTTCGAATAACATCACCAGATAAAGTAACTTTATTTGAAACTTTAACTAGTTACTTTTTTTAACTCGTTAATTCTCAATATTGGATTAGATCATTGATTCGCATAAAATATATATGTATTTTTTTCTTTAATAAGTAACGAGCAATACATGCAAATTCAGAGAGTCTGGAGAAAGTAGTAAGTACTAATTTATATCAGACTAAAAAAAAAAGACAAAAGAAGGGTGTGAGAAACATAAATCACATTTTTTCAGCTATTATTTCTTCCGTTTAATTATTTAATTATACGCGTGTATTAAATTACATCCATTTTAAGAATGATGTTCAGGTTACAGACGATATTACAGTGTCATAATACTACAATCGTAAAATAGTCAAGAAAAATAATAATTAAATTCAAATAAAGCCCTATTTACGTATCTTTAAAAAGATATACTTTTTCGAAAAGAAAGAGCTAAAAAAACAAGATACAATTATCACTTAACTTCAAACGATACAAATTCGTTACGTTATTTTACAATTTGTGTAATCTTATTATAAATATTTATGTATAATTAATCTTTTAAAATTATTATATCTCGTTTTTATCTTGCAATAAGTAAAAGCATTGTTCCAAAAAAAAATCATTTTTTCTATTATTCAATCTTTCTATTTCTTTATAAATTTTCTTATCGCGAATCTTTATCTTTTTTTTAATTTTCAATTCTAACGTTTGTATCCTAGTGTATTTTGATTATTAAAGAGATATAATGTTTATAAATCATACGGAAAGAAAAAGGAAAATAAAAAAAGAGGTTAATTTTTCTGTTACGAAATTTTCGTTGCTATTTCATCAATAAATAAAATGACAAAGATGATTCGTTGATAATAATAAATGGACTTGACCAAAATATTTTCCGATACAAACAATGGAAAGATGATATCTTCGTCATCGACAATGATTGGCGATCGTTCGAACGTTCGATTTATTTTTTTTTTTT